AAAGATCACCTAGTTCCAACCCCCTGCCACGGGCAGGGACACCCCCTACTAGGTCAGGCTGCCCAGAGCCCCGTCCAGCCTGGCCTTAGAAACTTCCAGGGATGCGGCTTCCATCCCCACTCTGGGCATCCTGTTCCATCTCAAAGCCCTCGTCTGGGCAGGTGGGCACAAGGTGCTGGTGGCTCCAAAACACATGTTGCTGGAGACAAATCACACCGGACTCGCTCTCCTGGGCAAAGCCGTGCCTCGCGTTAGGCTGGGAGAGACTCGCTGCACCCGAGCCTGTGGGAAACTTCCAGGGATGCGGCTTCCATCCCCACTCTGGGCATCCTGTTCCATCTCAAAGCCCTCGTCTGGGCAGGTGGGCACAAGGTGCTGGTGGCTCCAAAACACATGTTGCTGGAGACAAATCACACCGGACTCGCTCTCCTGGGCAAAGCCGTGCCTCGCGTTAGGCTGGGAGAGACTCGCTGCACCCGAGCCTGTGGGGATCTTGGCAGGACGGGGACCTCGTTTGGCAGAAAGCTCCTCCGCAAGGAGTAAACCTCGCTTGTGCCCTGGAAATAGTTGTTGCTAGAAAAGCCTGAGCACATGGAGATGTCGGGGCTTTGTGGGGTTGAGACCCCTCAGATATTGCAGCTCTTCTCCCCCTCTCCCCACAGCAGGGACGGCCAAGGAATGGGTGTCTCTGCTGTGCCCTCGGCACGGCCGCAGCAGTTTTGCAGGGGAAGCGGTGGCTTCCCCTTCTGCTGAGCTGGTCTCTCCAGCTTCCCCATTCCTGGAAGACCTTTTCTGTTCCTGAGAATGTTTAGTGTTTGTTGCCCACTGGCCCCACCAAGCTGGACCAAGGGGCCGGTTTGGGTTTGCAGCGAGTCCAGCCTTGCCAGGAAGCCACCCGCAGTGTGGTGAGCTGGGTTCGATTAGCCGAACACCTTGCTTTCCTCCTGCTCCCTGGCTGAACGCAGATGGGACGTGAGCACGTTGGGAAATTCGTGTAGGAAGGAAGCAAAAGCCCGACTGGTGTTTGCCTGTTGAGAACCCAAACAGAACTTGGTCGCAAGGAGAGAAGCGCGTTTTGTTTTGCATCGCCTCAGCGCTTTATGGAAATCTAAAATCCTTCTGTAGGAGGTTTTCAGCTCCTTGTTTGAAACCGTGAAGGATCAAAGAAAGCGTTGGCCACGCTGCAGTGATGTTGGTGTCTCAGGGCATCACATTTCCAGGGGTTATGCTGGTGCCCGTGCCAGACACGAGCTCCCTCCGGTTGCCTTTCAGATATCCTCAATGAGGTCCTCAGCAAAGAGTGCAGCATTGTTGAGCCCATGGCCTCAGAGAATGAGGAGGATGACGAAGAGGAGGAGGAGGAGGTGGAAACCGATGGCTGCTCCCCCGAGCGGGACTTGCTGCTTTCCCCGCTCAGTGCCATTTCCAGAGACTCTGTGTACTCAGCGCTGTCGGAGGAGGGATCCAAGCCCTCACGAGTGTCCCTGTTCACCACCTCCAAGGACTCCATCTCGGAGCTGACGGTGGTCTCCAGAAAGTCCCTGAAGTCATTTGTCTCCAGCCTGAAGGATTGCATGGACAGCGGGTACGCAGAAGACAGCGATGAGAGCTCCCTGGATGTGGTGGGGAGGCCGGAGCTGAAGGTGGAGAAGAGCCCCCACAAATACCGGCACACGCTGACCAACAAGATCTACAAACTGTTCAAGAGCAAAAGCCAGTTGGTCTTGAGGAGGGACCTGAAGGACTGCCCGGACATGGGCTCGCTCCC